GTGCAGCAGAGACCTCCTGGTCTCCTCCATCTTTGCTGTAGCCAGCCGCAAAAGAAAGAAGTCAAGGGAGAAGCCGCAGCCTAGCAGCTCAGACGATGATCTGGATTCTGTATTCCTCAAGAAGGAAATCCTTGGCCAGAAGCCAAACCAGCAGACCGAGGCACAGGGCGAGACTCGTCCCAGCCCTAACACCAAACCCAGCACGAAGCAGCAAGCACGGACAGAAGAGAGGAAGGAGAACGGGAGGACAGTGGAGCTCACACCTAAAGCTAAGAGAGAGCACCGAAACTCTTTATTCCTGAGGGAGAAGATTACCCCCAGACGCTCCTCGCCTTCACCTTTACCTTCCCCAAAGATTTCCAACTCTCCCAACATCAGCTACCAAACAGCTCCTCAGGGAAAATCCTCATTGTCAGACCCTCCGTCCCAGCTTGATGAAAACACCTCAGACCTTGGGACCATGAGCTCTGGAGCATCAGTGCCACGATCCAGACCGAAAAAGTGGATTGCGGGAGTGTCCCCTGACCTGCCAGCAGGAGCCGCTCTGGGAGCAGGTGCGGGGGCGTCCGCTGGCGCAGAGGTGAGCTCTATCACCTCTGACTACTCCACCACCTCCTCTATCACGTTCCTGACTGGAGCGGAATCAAGCGTGCTGAGTCCAGAGCTGCAGGGTGGCGAGGAGGCAGATGATGAGCGCAGTGAGCTCATCAGCGAGGGACGACCGATGGAGACAGACAGCGAGAGCGACTTTCCAGTTTTTGCTCCAGGCGGCGGCAGCAGCCAGTCCACACCCTGCCCAGCGCAAAGTCAAGAAAAGGCAGAGGCCAAAGGGGGCAGTGCTATCGAAGGGGGCACCTCACCAAAACTGGAAGCACGGCGGCTCTTCCCAACACACCGCATGATCGAGTGCGATACCCTCTCAAGAAGGTGGTCCCTGAAACAGAAAACAGACAGTGAATCATCAGTCGAAGGGGCTGCTGGCAGCGGGGAGCGAAGCGAGGGCAGGGCGGAGTCTTCCAGCCGGTTGTCTCGAGTCCTGGAGGTGATGAAAAAGGGCCGATCCACGAGCAGCCTCAGCTCTTCTTCGCGCAGTGAGTCAGAGCGATCCGAACCAGCCTGGCACCTTAAGATCACAGAGAGGCTCAAGTTTAGGCTACGAACGTCCGCTGATGACATGTTTACTCAGAAGAACCGATCTCCCGACGGTCGCAGTAAGAAAAAGAACATCCGACGGAGGCACACCATGGGTGGGCAGAGAGACTTCGCAGAGCTGGCAATCATCAACGACTGGCGGGAGCAGGGTGGGGTGGACCAGGCGGCTGAACTCTCAGCTCTAGACCCCCTGAGGCCTAGATGCTCCTCTCAGGACTTATCCATTCGAGACTGGATTGCGAGGGAGCAAAGCAGAGGCTCCGAGCCAAGCGTCGAGGTTGCGCCCAAAGCGGTGCCTGAGGATGATCACGCAGAAGTGCATGAAGAAAGACCTCCCGAAAGACCTCCACCTCCACCGCCTTCGGATTCCCCTGGGGCTCAGCCTCCAGCCGGGGAGCACATTAACGGCAGAGGGCTGCAAAGCAAAAACAAAGGCTCCTTAGGGGACGACGCTCACCCACACAAACTCTCTGGAGCTCAAGTTGTCCGCTCACGGTTCTACCAGTATCTGTGAAATGGAAAACAAAAAAACAAAACCGGGATGAATGTGTACGTGTATGAATGTGGGTATTTTAGCTGAGGTTACTGCACAATATTTTTTCTACAAAGTATACTTTATGTATCTACTGTACATACTTATTATGATTGTTACTGGAATTCGACTGAAGAGATGTCTAACACAGACTTTTCTCCTGTAAGATCGAACCCAACGAGTGCAAGAATCTGACTTTAATAGGACACGATGACAAATATAAGGGTCAACTCGAGTATTACTGAGGAAAGCAGGTGCAAGAGTTTTTTTTAATAAGGAATCATGACTCAGTTCTTCCTCTTTGGAGCGGTATGAAGAATGTATTACACTTTTTGGACTAACATGAGTTGCTTGTGACAATAATGTCTTTTTCAAAACGGCATGTCTGTGTTTTTCTCGGCTGTACTTGAAGTACGTGGAAGTAACTGAGGGCTGCTTTCTGAGCTGAGTGCTGTGGGAAGTTTATTTTTTTCTTTTTATGTTTCTTGTCGTTTTATTTTGTATTTTCACAGCACACTCACAACAGCCAGATATTAGCTTGAGGAACTGGGGGATTATTATAGTTTTATGAAATAAAAGACTGAGAAAACAGTAATAAAAGCTGATACTACAGTATGTAATGCTTGGTACAGTAGTTTTGTGAAGGTATAGTCCAAAAAGTGAGTTTTTACATACGAAAAAAAAGTGCCTCTTTTATTTGTTTTGTTTTTAAACTGTTTTTATGGATGGTTGGAAACACAAGGAGGGTTGTTTTTTTTCTTTTAACCTCACAGGCATTCCAGATTTTATCCTGTTTTTAGTTAAACTCACAGCAGCATCGGAGCAACATCGGATTTTTATCGCGGTAATGTTTCATTATAGTTTTATTTCAGTTTTCCACCACCCCCCCCCCCCCCCCCCCCGGGTTTTGCAGTAAAAATTGAACGGGTGCTTTAAAAAGCTGGGGAGAAAAAAAATATGTTTGAAACTGCATGAGACAATGTTTGCTGAAGAGTGAACATCTCGCCCGTGTTTACAGAAAAACATGGGCGCAACACCACGTCCTCCCCTCAACAAACACTGGAAATAAATAACCTTTATTTAGACCCTCGTCTCTTTGGCGTCATTGTTGTTATTCTCAGAAAACATCTGGGAAGAATAATAGACCAGATTTTTTTTTGTCCAAACAAATATATTTATTACAATAAATCGCATATGTTTTTATCAAAGCATTGTGTTGCTCTTCAGATTTGTATGCTTGCATCACGTTGAAATATTACAACAGCCTGATTTAAATCACAACAATCATGACAGCTGTTGTAATGCAACACCAGCTTCAAAGCTCAGGAATATACAATGATCTCTTGGCTTACTTTCCTGCTTTAAACAGATGGGGTGAAACTGACAGGGATCGTAGACAAATGTTTCTTAATTTTGATGCCTTCAAGATATAAAATTCTGCCTCATTCCAAGAAGTTTAAATAGAAATCTGAGATCAGGTCATGTGCTGCAAACAATATGAAGCATAAATAGTTGCAGAAATAAACAAATTACAAATAACTGACACAAAAAACTTACTGCTCTTGTAATTTACAGCCAAAGTTTGTAGATTTTCCTGTTTTATAACAAAAGTCATAATTAGGGTGGCAAACCAGAGGCTCGGGGTCCAGAAGCAGCCCACAGAAAGAAAGGCTTTGGAAAACGGGAAGGAGGGTTTTACAACTTTTCCTACTGATGAAGACCTCATCATTGGCCACTCATACTAAACAAAAGTAATTTAGTAAAGAGAAAAGTTCCTGTTTTTCCACCAACTTTTTCCTGTAGTTTTATAAATTGATTCAAAATATTAAATGTCAAAGAGCCATGCTGACAGATTGCTTTCATTAACTACAGTAACTTTTCTTAAAAATGCAGAAAACCTGAGACGTATGCTGAAATTCAGTTAAATAATTAGCAACATGAATTATATTAAAGATTGTATCTTTTAAAAATAGGAATGTATATTTTTATATTTTTATTCTCAACTCTTTTATATGACCTAATCCTACAGAATAAAACAGAATGAAATTGTAGGATAAGTTGCACAGTAAACCAAAAGGATCTGATGAATTTTAATTTTTTTGATTTTTCTATTTTTTCTTCTGAAAAGAACTACTTTCTTTTCTGGCCCATCTTTTGTTTTCTCTTCCATTATTAGTTGGGAAGAACTAATTTGGAAAGTGAAGCTGTTCGCGGAGCATGAATTTCAACAAGTAAAACACCAGAAGAGCTAAATGAATAAATGAAAACGCAAAGGATACTGTAGAATGACCACTCGGTAGCTTTCCTTATCAGCAGCTCAGCATCCATCACTTAGAACAACACAACAACGGGTACGACAGCTAGGAATAAACTACTAGACAGCCCTGCCGCAAAAGCATATCATATGGCTTAAATCCACAATACCCCACGGCTCAATGTAGGCACTAACATAACCCAGAATATGACCGATACTACTTAGCTCTCTGCTTTTGTAATGATCAGAGCTGATCAGAGTAAAGGTTTGAATGGGTGTCGTTACCCTGTCTTACTTGGCTAGTTAAAAATCTACTTATGTGGTTAAAATCAGAATAAAGTTATATTAACAAATACAGCATGAAAACTGGTTTAGAGGATTAAACTGCTCCTGAAGAATTTCTTTTTTTATTTTACTCATTTTTTACTAGAGTGAGATGGAGTTTGTTTTCATTATGAAGGACATTTTCATATTTACTCTAATGCCTCGCGATTGTTTTTTTTCCTTTCTTCTTTTTTTAAACCTAGAATTAGAAGGGTGGAGTTTAGGACGCAGATACAAATGACACAAATCTCGCTCATTTCTTGATATGTGTTATAAATAAATAAGTAAATAAATAAATAATGGCTTATTAAATGTCGTTTCCCATCACAGTACGGCAGTACTCACGGTATCCATGGCAACTCTATACTTCCTGTTTCTGGGTGACATACCGATGAGCCTCACACTTCCGTAATCAGCATACATAAGCGTGTTGAACAATTCAAAATACATAAAAGTAAACTCCATTATGAGGAAGAAGCGAATCAGAGCTGACAACATCAACCCTGTGGGGTCTGAATGGATCCTTTACTACACTGACACAGCAAGGCAATTAGCATATTTTGCTTTATTATTATTGATTGTATGTTTTGCAAAAGACGGAGCCTTGCCCAGTCATTGCACCAAATCATCAAAAGCTGCAATAACCATGAACCAAGATGCACAATTGTCACGGTCCTTCCACATAAAGCGCACATAAAGCTCTGCTTCGCGTGACGTAACGTAAAGGCGAGCCCGTGTTTTTCCGTAGAGCTGGAGACATTCACTTTATGCAAGCCTCCACCTGACCTGACGCCTGTGCACCGCTCAGGTAAGACAGAGTTATTTACTTTAATAAACGAAACGAAAAGAGCACCTATCTGAAAGTGGAAGATGGCATGCGTTTATTTGGCAAGGTTTTTTTTTTTTGGTTTTGTTTTGTTTTATTTATTCAATTTTTAGATAACAAAACAAAAGATTATTTTCTACGGTTTGATCTTCTTTTCTTCTCGTTGGTTTAACCGTCCGTTGTCTTAGATGAGAGTTTATTGTGATTTTTCTTTAATAATATTATGGAATCCCGTCTTTGGATATATTTCAAATATTTGCATTCTTGTTACATAGCACTGAGAAGAAGCAGCACCTGAGTCCCACAGGAATTTGTTACGTGACACCAGAAGAACAGGTGTAACAGGTGCGACAAACAACCTGTTTGCTGTCCGAAACTAAAACACCGAGCAGCAGAGATTTTCTCAAGTAAAATAAAGTAAAACAATGCAAACAATTACAAAAAAGCAAGTATTGTGTATACATGGTGTCTACCATTGAAAGTTAAATTCTTTTTACAAAACAATCATGTTTAAAACATTTACTTAACTTTGAAAGCTTTTAAACTACTAAAAACAGCCATGCTGTTTTGTGTTAAAACAATACCCTGAACCTGACATTGGCTGGACTCTCACTAATACTACTTTCTGTTTTTAAACCACATTAAGTCAGGGTAACATTCAACCCTGACTCTTACATGACACATTCCTGCTTTATTTAAGCAAACCCAGTTCTTGTAAAAATCAAGCACACATACTAGTAGAATACTGCCTCCATGTGGTTGAAATTTTCATTACACTTGAGAGATTATTAGGCTCTTTGGCCTAGATTGAGTGGAGTGAAGCTGCCACTCCTCCACATTGGGAAGAAGTCAGCTCAGGGGAATATTGAGAAGTTCAATATGTAGCCCACTAAATTCTGTTAAATAAATAAATAAATAAATAAACCTCAATCATACACTGTGAAAAATTGCTGAACCCTTTTGTGGTGATCTTCATGATGGTGTAATTTACAGCCCACAGCACATTTAAACAGACAAACATTTTTACATTCCAGATCTAAAAAACAACAACAACACAGTTTCAAAATAAATGAAAGCTGAAAAGTGTGTTATGTCGTGTTAGCTAATTATTGTGGAAAGTAAAATCACAGTGATTTCGACAACATGGGTTCAGAATTTTCAAACTGATTCATCCCGTAAATCACAAGACACTGTGCTCACCTGCATAAGCTCCCTTTGTAGGATAAAATTATTGGTAGTAGATGTCAGCCATTTAAGCCAAAACCAATTACCAATAAGAATAATTATCATAAGAATATGCTTTAAAACATGTCAGCTAGTGCAGCTGTTTACATCATGAGAGTTTTCAATAATAGATGTAGATTGTACCACCTGTTAGCTAGCTGTGTACACAAAGGTTTTATAATCTAGGGTCAATAGTTTTGGTCAAGTGTTCACATATATCTCTTCGTCTGTTGCTTTATATCTTATAAAACTGGGGCCCGGCTGTTTGCAGTGTTATTCAATCAGTACTCTTGTGAACATACAGTGCTGTGAAAAAAGTATCTGGCCCCTTCCTGATTTCTTAACTTTGCACATTTGTCACACTTAAATGTTTCACAGAAAGTAAAGTTTATTATTAACTAAAGATAACTTGATTAAATACAAAATGCATTATCCAGACATGATTACTGCCAGAGCAGTTGAATCAAGAAATTACTTGAATAGAATCAGTTAAAAGATCTCGAAAAGCAACACGTCATGGCTCGATCTAGAGCAACTCAACGGAAGATGAGAAACAAAGTCATTGACATGCCATCATCAGTCTGCAAAGGGTTACAATGCCACATTGAGACCATTATCCACAAATGAGGAAAACTTGGAACACTGGTGAATCTTCCCAGGTTAAATTAGTCCAAGATCACTGACTCACCCAGGAGCTCACAAAAGAACCCAGGACAACATCTAAAGAACTCCAGGCCTCACTTGCCTCAGATAAGGTCAATGTTGCTGATACAGTTACAAAAAAAAAGTCTGGACAAAAATAGCATCCATGAGAGACTTCCAAGGCAAAAATTACTGCTGAACAAAAAAGAACACATTTACCCCCCAAAAAACCCATCATGATTCCCAAAACTTTTAGGAAAATATTCTGTCCACTGACAAGACAAAAAAATGAACTTTTTGGAAGTCTTGTGCCTTGTTATGTCAGATCTAAAACTAACAAAGCTTTTTATAAAAAGAAGATCATACTAACATTCTAACCCAATTCTGCTCTCTAGCAGAAAATCCCGAAGGATAATGTCTGACCATCAGTTTGTGCCCTGACGCTCAAAAACACTTGGGTTATACTTAAGACAATGATCTGAAACAAACCAGCAAGTCCACCTCTGAATGGCTCAAAAATATAAAGAAATAAATAAATGAAGGTTTTGGAATGGGCTACTTAAAATCTGACTGAGATGCTTTGGCATGACCCTAAACAGGGCTGTTTGCGCTCAAAACTCTCCAGCGTGGCTGAATATAAAAAATTCTGCAAAGAAGAGTGGGCCAAAATCCTTCCAAAGTGTATGAGAGACTCATTGCCAGTTATCACAAACACTTGATATGCAGTTCTTGCTGCCAAGGGTGACACAATCCGTTCTTAGGTTAGTGTTAGAGAGTTATCTCTGGGATGCTGGTGTGATAACTCCCTGAGGACAAGGACTCCGATCAGAGAGTGGGGCCCAGAGAGTGCTTTCCAGATATACTTTAATGAACATTAACTGATTCAACAGCAGGCCAGTAGTACAGCAATTGGCATACTCAGTGAGAGTATGTGAGTGGTTCTAAATAACAAGAAAACAGGGAGAAAATTACTTTTTAACATAGAGCCAGATAGATCTGAACATTTTTTTCCCCTTAATAAATTAATTTACCATTTAAAAAATGGATTTCGGTATTTCCTGCAAATACTGCACTGTACAGCCTGCTGTATTAAACTGCCAGTGGACAAAATGGATGAGCTGTAGGTGCAACTCTTGTGTAACATACCTTATCATATCCTAAAGGAACCATGTCTGCTGTCTACCTTCTCCTCCTGCTGGTCCCCACAATCTCGGCTCAGACTTTTCGCTTTGGTGCCTGCCCTACTCCGAAGGTGCAGTCTAACTTCAGCCTTCAGCTGGTGAGCACAAACAGTATTCTGTATACATACATACAAAGTAAGCAAAGAGCTGTACAGAAATGATTGTTCATCTTTATTTACAGTACCTGGATAAGTGGTATGAGATTGAGAAGCTGCCTGCTTCTTTTGCCAGAGGACAGTGCATTGAAGCGAATTATTCCGTAAGGAAAGATGGGACCATCCGAGTCTTGAACTCTCAGGTTTTGTAAGTAGTAAGCAACTTGTGGTTTGCTAAAGGAAAACACCACTTTAATTGTAACAGGTGATAACATAGCAATTGATTTTCATTATGTTTTTGCACGGACGACCAGTCCAGCCACTACACTTCTCCAGCCCGAACGACATTCCGATGTCATTGCTGTATATCCTGGTGGTGTGGATCAGTGAATCGATGTTTTATTATTGCACCTGTGTATTTGCTGTATCAATATGTACATCACTGAAAAAACAAACAAAGACAAAAAAACCTTTCACCAAACAAACCTCAATATTGGCAACAATGACGGGTATTTTTTTTCTCCCCTGCAAGGTGCAGTTCAGGGTGTGGATTTAACGTGTACACTAGGCACCTTTCTTCTTATGTATTGTACGAGGAGAATGAAAACAAACCTGAGTGACATGTTTAACATCTTGACCCTGAACTGTTGACTGAAGGCTCGGTGGCGGCACACCTCATGTGGCGTTTGCTGTAATGACACAGGGTGCTTGCTCGTGCTGAACAGAAGTTTGCACAAAGGAAAGAGATTTTGTCTAATTTGCTGTAATTGATTGTGGTAACAAGTAATTTGCTTGATAAACTCATACAGTATCTGTGTGTCTCAGGGGTGGTAAAAGGGAGTTTTTAGAAGGGACAGCTGTGGTTCCAGACCGACAAGAACCAGCTAAGCTTGGAGTTTCCTTCTCATATTGTAAGTATTTTGTTATCATCCCATTTAAATCATAAAGTACTCTATCATCATTAAAGGGCAAAAAAAGTACATAACTTATGGCATTTTTATTGGACCGCATTAAAAATGACCATAAAATCATTCTCTGTAGCGTTGGTAGAGATAGATTGTGGTTCTTTAGTGTAGTAGCTTAAATATTCACCTTGCAAGCAAAAGATTTGTGGTTTAATTCTAGGAGGGTTTGGGGGTGTGTCAGGATGAACAACTGGTGTAAAAACCTGCCAAATGAGACATGTGGAACCAGCTGCTGTGGGAGCCCTTTGTGAATAAGGGAACAGCTGGAAGTAGTTTCAGTGCCAGTGACCTCTCAGAAACAATTTGGTGCCCCTTATTTAGGGCTTTGAGAATGCCAGCAACCAAGAGATGGCAATGTCACGCCAAAAACTGAATATTAAAGATGGAAGGAGTAATCAAATGTAGTGGTATACCATTTCACAACTTCAGGTTTAGCTGGCAAATTCATGTTTAAAAAAAAAAACAAAAACAAAAAACTAAGAAACTCAGTCACCTTTTGGATCGGATGATAGCGCAGATCTGCAATTTGTAGCCAAGGTGCTAAGTGTCATCCATAACACTTCACACTAGGACACACACCACTTTAGTGCAAGCTGGAGATCATTAGTCAACAAGTCAGCAGGATAACAAATTCAAATTGGAGACATGATCCTGAGATGACCAAAGGTGTCACTGTATGCTCTGTTTGACATCTAAATGCAGCAAAGGGGCAATGTGGAGCAAGATCTCACTGCAGCTGTATGGATCATTAGACCTCATATATAGTGGCTTTGTCATTTTACTTTTTATGGCTTTGTATTTGGAGTAATGTATATCATGTTGCATCAATTCTGCTTTACAAATCTAAATCATTTGCAAACTCACCCATATAAAAGTTTGCTATTGTCTGTATTTTATCTTTCTGTGGCTGTGCTTTCTGTTACCAGTTACACCCTATGGCCCATACTGGGTGCTGGAGACAAACTACACCAACTACACCATTGTGTACTCCTGCACAGACATTCTGCGCATATTCCACGTTTACTACGCCTGGATTCTCGCACGGTCACCCTCCCTGCCTCCAGAGACGGTGCATTACGCCAAGCAGTTGCTGACTGATAAAGGAATCGATATTTCCAAGATGACGCCCACATATCAGAGCTGTGGAAATATTTAGGAACTGACAGAGAGGTTCATTCATTAAAGGGTTTTTCTGTTTGTAGAACTAATTATTTATCCTACCAGCCATGAAATCATAGTACATCTGTTACATTGTTGTTTCTTTTTATTTCATCATTGTTTTCATCATTTTAATTTTGTCATTTGATTACAAAGTGAATGGATTAAAGTAATATTTTGAGATAAAATTCATTTGATAATTAAAACATTTATATAGTACATATTCTTGCAAAGAATTAAATACTAAATCTGTAAAAAAGTGATTGGTTTGCATAGTAATTAGTCAACGAAAATAGCAACATCCTTTTTATATTCTATCTATAGTGCATCTTTTATTATTTACAACAATGAGCAAATCAAGCTGTTCTTGGTGATGGAGGGAAAAAGAAACTGTGGATCTGTTCTACTTAAATTAGAGCTGTTTTTTTTTCCCATTTGAACTGGAAATAATCTATTGAACATGCAGTCCTGTCTCACAGTGATGCAATAAATGATTCTATGTGCAACTTTAAATACTGATGAAATTAATCAGAATTCACTGATGAGTGGGTGACAACATCAACACTGTGCAGTGACAAAGAAGGTGAGAAACTAAGTGTACTCCTACTGTGACTTTCTGTACTCTTACAGGGTCTTCTCAGGAGTTGACATTGCAGCAAATTCACTCCAAAGCCAGACTGTGCATTGCTCAGAGAAACTGCAAAAAACCCAAGAGCTACTCGTCAAATTCTACAGGCCTCATTTAGCGTTACGGTCCTGGGTCGGTGACCTGGTGTTTTGAGTCTTGTACTTTTGTTTTCTTAGGATGGTTGTGTTTTGAGTTTTTGGTTTCCTGTCCTGTTTCTGTGCCCCTTCCTGTGTTCCACACGTCTGTTTTATTTTGAATGCTCTGCCCTATCTGCAGTGTGTCTAGTTTTGGTTTTCCTCATCTCGTTTTTTGTCCGATTACCGGTAGTCCCAGCTGTGTTTCCACCTGTTTCCTATCTCCTCGTTTTCCATCCTGTGTATTTTAGTTCTCAGTCTTTACCCGCTGTGCTGTGTGTTTTGTCGGCCAGCCTGTCTGTTTAGTTTTCAGTTTAGTTATGGTATTCAGCAATAAAGTCTCTGAGAGTCGGCACTTTGGGCCCTATCTTGCCTGCACACAGCCCTCATATGTTAAATGTTAATGTTCATGACAGGAAAAAAAAAGATACTGAACTAATAGGACTTTTTGGGAATGGGTGCTAGGAGAAAGCCTCTTCTCTTTAAAAACAACATGGCAGCATGGCTTAGGCTTGCAAAGTTGGATCTGAACAAAGCTCAAGACTCCTGAACAATGTCGTTTGGACACACAAGACCGTAATGAAGATGTTTGGTCCTAAACCCACAGGTCCACATTTTTTATTTATTTTTTTAAATATTTTTATTGAGAGACAAGTTCAATTCAATTTCAATTCAATTTTATTTATATAGCGCCAAATCACAACAAAAGTTGCCTCAAGGCGCTTCATAGATACAGAGAAAAACCCAACAATCATATGACCCCCTATGAGCAAGCACTTTGGCGACAGTGGGAAGGAAAAACTCCCTTTTAACAGGAAGAAACCTCCGGCAGAACCAGGCTCAGGGAGGGGCGGCCATCTGCTGCGACCGGTTGGGGTGAGAGAAGGAAGACAGGATAAAAGACATGCTGTGGAAGAGAGACAGAGGTTAATAACAGATATGATTCAATGCAGAGAGGTCTATTAATTAATAGACAAGTGTACATTAGTTTACAATGACAATACAATCTGTTCCCCTCACATATTTGTTAGTTTTTCTTACATGAACAGATACAATAATACACACACATACGCTTAAATAAAATTGAAAAAACAAACAAACAAACAAAACCTAAGAAGAAACCCAAAACAAACACACAGCTCCACATTTGGAGAAAACCAAATACAAGATATCAGCACAAACACCCCATACAAACTGCAAAGCAAACTGGTGATGGAGGGATGATGATTTGAGTGGGCTCAAACTCTGCACAAGCAACTGATAAAATCAAATGGAAAATAATTACTCAAGGCATCACTGCCAAAGATACAAGTGACTGAATCGCAAGATGAAGTTTTCACATGACTCAGTGACTCATGGGCAGTGTTGGTCAAGTTACTTGAAAAAAGTAATCAGTAGCTAATTACTTATTACTTCCCCCAAAAAGTAATCCCGTTACTTTACTGATTACTTATTTTCAAAAGTAATTAATTACTTAGTTACTTTTTAAAAACACGATTTACATCCTGAATAGGTGATAAAGCGATAGATCTTTCCGCCCAATTCTACTTTTTCTACATAATCCATCATACAAAATGTAATCAAGTGGAAAAGTCTCTTTTTAAAACTTGTTTTATTGGTTTAATCTTTTAACTTTATGCATTAATGTAAATGTAATTAATGTAATGTAATTATATGCAACATTCTCTGACTGGAAGAAATTTGTTTAACATTTAAACCTATTTTCTGCACATTCCAGCACATAAAATAAAATATTTTGTGTGTTTACACTCAGTCTTTCAAATAGATGCAAGTAAAACACAGCAGAAAATAAATAAAATCAAAGACTAGCGGTCCTGTTGCTCTATTTTCACCTGGAAAGCAGGAGTGGGGTAGGCGGAGGTTTGCCCTGGTGCAGGTGTGCCGCAGCGGTCAGTGGAAGAATCCGCGGGTTTCTCTGTGAATTTCACATTACGTCGTTGCACACTCGGTGCTTGTTTAGGGGTTTTTTTTTCGCTGTAAAAGGAAGTTTTCTTCCCACGCACAACGGATGCTAATATTTTTGTCACTTTTTATGGAATCAAACTCAAAGTAAGGTCAGTACTTCCACGCTTTAAACGCTGCACGCTCATACTGTCTCTTGCACTTGATATATGATCCATTGTTGATCTGCACACAGCTGTTGTCACGAACATCACACTCGCTTACGTCATTGTCATGAGACATTCCTGCAAAAAATGCTGGCATGTGATCCGTGCATCACAGTTAGTGATGTAATGTGAATTCTCTCTTGTATTTTTCCATAGACTGTTTATGAAAGGTTTGACCAAAGAGCTCACTCACTCAGCTCAGACCTCTATTAGATATCCGAGTGCCTTTATTGTAATCTCGGGCGACTTCAACCATGTATCACTGGACAATACACTACCAACATTCAGACAATATGTGGACTGTCCAACCAGGGGAGAAAAAATTCTCCCCTGGTTCTCAGCTCCTCCTCCCTCCCCCCACTTGGTAGGTCAGATCATAACCTGATTCATCTCACCCCTGCTATGTGCCAATTGTGAGGAGGGAACCTGTGACCACGAGGAGCGTTAGGAGATGGTCAGAGGAGGCCTTAGCGGAACTACAGGGCTGTTTCGAGGTGACCAACTGGGAAACACTCTGTGAGCCTCACGCTGAGGACATCAGTGGGCTTACTGAGTGTATTACAGACTACATAACTTTCTGCACCGACTCCATTGTTCCAGCTCAGACTGTTCATTGTTACCCAAATAACAAGCCGTGGGTGACTAAGGACATCAAAGCCCCCCTCAACAACAACAAGAGGGCTTTCAGAGGGGCCAATAAAGAGGAGGTGTCATGGTCCTGAGTCTGAGGACTCGGTGTTTTGTGTTTCTTTATATTATTCTTTGTTCTCGGTTATTCTGTTTTGTCTTTTGTTTAGGTTTGCTATGTGTTAGTGTTTTTGTCCATGCCTGCCTGTGTTCTCTCTGTCTGCCCATGGTGTTATTGTGTCTGCTCATGAGTCTGCCTGTCAAGTTCAGTGTCCTGTCTGGTTCTCTGTGTCTGTTAGTTTCCTGTTTTATTCTGAAAGTTCATGTCTCATGTCAGTGTGTTCAGTTTTACCTCTCCCCTGTCTCGTTAGCCTAATTGCTCCCAGCTGTGTCTCCCTCCTGTGGCCCATTCCCTGATTACTCCCCGTGTATTTAAGCCCTGTGTTTTCCTGTGCTCTCTGTTGTGTCGTCTGTTTAACGCCATGTCCGGCTGCATTACTCTGTGTAACCCGGTGTTCATTCTGCGGCTCTCCGCCATCTTTCTTTGTGCATTTTGTTCCTCCTCCTGTGCGTGTTTGGTTCAAGTTTAGTTCTTTAGTTTTCCCCAGTTTAGGTTTGTTTGCTCTCAGCTCTGCTCTTCCTGTTTTTGTCACCGTATCACCTCTGTGAATAAACACTCACTCGCACCCCAGCCAGTGCCTGCATTTTGGATCCTTTTCTCAATTCACCACACGACTGCTGCCCAGCTGTGACAGGAGGTGAGGAAGACCACCACCATGGTCACCATGAAGACCATCACTGGATTCAGGCCAACCAACAGCAGGGGAGCTGAGGGAGGTGAGAAAAGAGCTAACGAGTTGAATCTGTTTTTCAATAGATTCGACACCACAGTGTCTGCTCCCACCCCCACAACCTCACCTAGGGTTGCCAACTCCCTGAAAAATAAATAAGGGACACCTCGTGGCCAGGGCCGGGCAACCCAGTTGTCTTCACCCTTCCCAGTGTGGTGAATTTTCTAGCTCTTTTTTTTTTTTGTGTGAAATTATTATTTTTTAACCATTTGACTTGAAGTTGATTTAAGTAGATGCATATTCTATTCTTTGTGATATGAGCACATATCAAACAAGTGATCATTTAGCCATTTATTTTTAGCTCAAAATGACAACATTAACACAATAAAACGGGTCTTTCTTAAACAGAAGCCTGTCATGCTTAACTTTTGAGAATATAAGTAAATCTTTCTTTAAAAGAACTCTGTCCTGCTTAACTTAAAATAATAGAAAGAAAAACATTCTTGTAACAGTGCACATTTAGTACATTTAGTACAATTGGCTTCAGTTGAGGTATTACACCACCACAGCCGCTCACACTGCTCGCGCGCAAACACGTAAACATCGGTGAAAAAGACGGAGCAGCACGGCTGTGCAGCGTGTGATCTGGACACAAGCGATGGAGGCACAACTTGTAGAACTTTGGGAAGCTCATCCGAGCCTTTTCTATGTGGCATCACAAAATTATCACGACCACAACAACCGTGAAAATAGTTGGATTTACATTGCTGCTCAATCACAGCTGCCTGATCAATGTTTTTCATTAGCAGTTTAGCAAAGTTGATGGTGGTGTGTCTGTGTGAGTGAAAGACAGAGAGAGCGAGCGACAGATTTTCTGTTATAACCTTAATTTTATGGACGCACAGGGTGAGCTCTCAGGTCGCATCAGAGCATCGGGCGGTATAGTGTGAGACCCTGCATCGTGACCTACCAACTTCTAACCCCTGCGAGTAAATCGTGCAGTTTGAGCAGGAGCTGTATTGCGCGACTAAAAAAAATCGCACAGTGTATGTCCAGCTTTAGGTGTACTGTCGTCCGAGACTTGCACCGCAGTGTCGGCGTTTGTTTCCCTGTTGGCCATGCTTCTTGTTGTGGTCATCTGTTGTCTTCCGGTATTTTCTCCGCAAGCGACCTTTCCTCGACCAATGAGATGAGCGGTAATCTG